TTTTAGGTTTTCAATTTCGTTTGTCCTCTATTACCACCACCTTTGAGAGAAGAATGGTTTTGGTATCTGTGGGACACTGGGATGTGGGGCACAGAACAGGAATCTGGAAATTGTCATGCAGCAAAAAGGAGATTCTCCTGTGAATCGCTTGTAGGATCCCTTGAAAATTGGGATGGCCAGTCCTTGGACATACTGCGATATCCATGGCAAGCTAACCACTTCCATAACTATTCTTCAAACTCCTTCTAATTTGAGGTCCTGCACACAATTTCTGTGATTTTTTAAAAAAAAATCCTGATACTAGAGAGTATTTGGTTATTTCTGCCCATGTGATAGCTTTCACAACTTTTAAATTGTACTTTTTTTTTGTTCCTTAGGCTTTCTAGTTCTTGTCATAGTGGCATAGTGCTTATTGCAGCTTATAATCAAGTCTTATTTATATTTAAAAGTGCATTGGTATTCAAATGTGATTGTTCCATTGAAAAACAAAGAACTAAAGAGCTTAGAAATCATGTCCTCATATTTTCTCAGTTATGTCATAAATTGTTATTTATTAAAGGACCATTAGATTGCATTTATTTTAAGATCATAGAATTAGAGGCATGGATTGGCTTCAAAGATAATTCTAGTGCAGTACTTTGTGATAGATGAAGTGTACTCATAATGTAATTTTGTACACTTTTATTTCATTAGTGATACCCAACATAATAAACAAACATTGTTTATTTCATTAGTGATGTCCACAGGTTTCATTTTATCTCCTTCTTCTGGAATCCATATATGCATTTCATGTATAGAATTACTGCTCTGTTTCTTACTAAGTAGAATCCATGTTGAATTTTAGCAGGTTTCCCCTCCCCCCACATCTGCCTCTTTGATGGTTGCTGGGTTTACTGCCGCTCACTTATTAGTGCCCTGGGTCTTAACAACCTTATTCAAACAAAACATCTTAAATAGAGGCATTAAACAGGTCACAACAGTGAGCCATTTTGTAACTTTTTGTGCAATAAAATGGGTATGTTGTGTTTTGGAATATAAGACCTCTGAGTGCAGCTATTCATTTTCTTCATCTATAAAACATTTTAGAATAACAGCTTACATCTGTTTGGGGTATAAAATTCCACATTTTGAGGAAACATCACTGTTATGTAACTCCAAGTCAGACATGGGGAGGGAGCTAGCTTTCTGACAGGCCCATGTTCTGTAGAAGCTGGGAGTATTTGCTTTAGCTGTGTAGCTATGTTGCTGGCAGACCTTCTTGCACATGTGTGGAGCACATTTTCATTCTTGTTTCTTCATATTGTAAATGACAAGTGTGCCCTACGATTCTGACTTGAAGAATATTTGAAAAATTTTCACACATCAGAAATTTACCTTATGAATGATATTTCTCTACTAGATGTCAGAAATAAATTTAATTATTTAAGCATTTATAGCACATTTAATTACCTTCAACTGTCAGTCTTGTTTTAGAGAGTAAAGCTGGGGTTTCCTTTTGGCTTACTTTTAAAAATAAATACCCCATGGAATAGTTTGGCCAGTCCAAATGTGTGATTTTAAAGTTATTTCTTTAAACTGAAGGAACAGTTTAATGAATAACATGCAGTGGAGGAAAATGGGCAAAATGTTTATTTATAGAATTCAAAATCTGGTAGAATAGTTCCAATAAGTGCAGATAACATCCATGCAATTTTATAGATTACATTAATCCAGAGGTGAATAATGAATTCTAGCATGGATTATTACAGTAAATTTTAAAGCTTCTTTCTTTTTTTTTTTCCTTTTTCATTTTTTGAGTCAGAGTCTCATTCTGTCACCTAGACTGGAGTGCAGTGGCACAGTCATAACTATCATGGTCTCAACCTACTGGGCTCAGGTGATCCTTCTGCCTTGTCCTTCCAAGTGGCTAGGATACTGGTGTGCACCACCACGCCTGACTAATATTTTGATTTTTTTTTTTTTGTAGAGACGAGGTCTCCCCATGTTGTCCAGGCTGGTCTTAAACTCCTGAGCTTTCCCTCTCTCCCCTTGGCTTCCCACAGTGCTGGGATTACGGGTGTGAGCCACTGCACTGGCTCTTTTTTCATCTTTTTTTTAATCTTATCAAATTCTTTTTTTGTTTTTTAATTTTTTTTCTTTATTTTAAAGATGTGGGGTACAATTCAGGGTTAGGTATACAAATGTTCTTTATGCAGGTACCCTTATTGATGAGGTGTGCCCCTCCTCTGGCAGTTTCCCTCAACTGCCAATCCCCCCCCCCCAGTTTTCTACACTGCCAATCCCTGTCTTATAGTATTATGATAATTCCTTTTTTCATCTTTTAAATGTGAACTATTTACATTCTTGTTAAAAATTGATATATTTACATTTGAGAGGAGAGAATACAAAGAAAAAAATTAAAATAATCTATAATTATACTACCCATTAGTCCTCTTAGGTATATTTTATTACATACTATAAATTTTAAAAAAACTTTAAAAAGCTTTTAGAAATTTAGTGAACAGTTTAAAAAAATAATTTAATTGGAAATATTGCACTTTAGTTTCAGAATGGATGGTGTCAGATGCTTTTATGTTTCAGTGACAATAAGAAACTAAACTACATTTGACTCCTCCTGTAGAACTTTGACATTCAGGATGAGTTGCTTATTTATGACAAAAACAAATGTCTCAGAGATTCTGATTTGTCAAATTGATTCAGGCTGTTGACATTGATTTTTTTTCTCACTATCATTTCCTTCCTGATAAATGACAAGTTTTCTTTCTATGGCCACTGTCTGTCAAACTCAGGGCTATCATTTACTATAGCAGAGTAAGACAGATGATGCCAGACTTTAAATTTATGATGAAATATAAATATTTCAGAAATAACAATGCCCTTAATAGCATGTGAACATAAATACTCCTTATTTCCTCCATAATTGTAGGTACTTATGTACATGTGCACCCTCTCTCTCCCCCACCCTTTCTCTCTCATACATCCTCTCACTCTGGTAATGCTCAAAGTCCACATTTACTTTTCCCTTGTAGCCAAGCTGAGCACAGAATGACAACCTTGGGGTATTGGTGTGATATGCTCATGGGCGTCACCACTGACCCACTGGGCTGTGCCTGGCTATTAAGCTAGTGGGTAGAGTCCTCTGCCTTTCAGACATTTTTATTTTAAGAAATAGAGGTGGGTTTCTGTTTTAGAATTTCAAACAATTTAACTAAAAGCAAATAAGCTGGGTGAATTTATATGCAGTTAATTAAGTTTAGATGTTTTTTGGTAGAGTAGTTGTCAGGGATCTGGAGTCACCTGGGGCTTCTTACTTCCTGCTTGCCTTTGGCAAGTTACATAGCTTCTCTGAACCTGAGTCTCCTCTTCTATAAGATGTGGATAGTAATCACACCTATCTTATAGGAGAATTAAGTGAAACAAAACGTATCAAGTGCTTATTAGCACAGTGTTTGGCACATGAAAAGTACTTGGTTATTCCAGTCTTTATTGCTAGGCAACTCATTGCAAGTACTACTGTGTAAGCGTGATGGTGATCTTGACTACTCATGTCCCGACCAGCGGGACAAGTAAAACGTGGGCACGAGGAGGACTACCTGCTGCTGGTGAAAAGAGAGAGAGAGACCAAGAGAGAGAAAGAGACAGGAGACACGCAGAATGGAGGCAAGACAGTGTTCTGATCAAGCCTCAAAATTTTATTGTTAGGTGATTGCTTATATACATAGCAAAGAGGGGCGGGCTGAAATAGGGCGTGTGGCGGCTTATGATAGGAGGAAGAGTAGTGGTGGTATGAGGAGAGGAGGTGGGAGGGGTGTTGTGGTTTGGCGCGCGTGGGCTTTTCGGAGGACAAAGAAGAAGGCTTATATAAGATGGCTGCTATTTTTTAAATGGCTCCCAACATACTCATGCTCCACTACTAAATCAGCCATTCAGGCCCACTTCTCCCTGTATCTGTCTAGAATGTCTACACTCCCCCAGCAATCACTTGGTGATCCTTCTTTGAGTTTGCGGGTGCCCCACTCCCAGACTACTACTCTGTTCCTGGAGTCCTCTTTCTCTGCTTACTCTGTGAGGGGCTCTGTCTGCCTCCTCTTTCTTCTCTACTCCCTCTTCTCTCACCTACTCTTGCCCTCTCTGCATTCTACTTCCTCCTCTCCCTCCTTGTCTTTCCCTCTTCTGCTTTCCTTCTCTCTCCTCTTCTCATTTCTTGCCTTATCTCTTCCTTCTCTCTGTCTTCCATCCTCCTCCTCTACCCCCCTCCCTCCCCTACCCTTTTCATCTTCTTTTCCTCTTTCAACTTTCTTACCTTTCCTTCTCCTTTCTCTCTCCCCCTCTTTCTGCTCCCCCTTCTCCTCATTGTCACCACGTCCCCCAACTCTTCCCCCCCAATCCTCTCTTACCCTTCCCCTCTCTTCTCCTTGTAATCCCAGCACTTTGGGAGGCTGAGGTGAGAGGACTGCATGAACACATGGGTTTGAGACCAACCTGGGCAACTTGGTGAGACCTTATCTCTACCCAACAGGTCAAGGCTGTGGTGGCCATGAGTGTGCCACTGCACTCCAATCTGGGCGACTGAGTGACACTCCAACTCAAAAAAAAAAAAAATTCTAACACTTTGCCTGCCAGAGAGTAGATAACCTTAGCCCTTAAGCAGAAGAAATGCCACATCTTTACAGTCTTTATTACTTATGATGGGAACTGTTTATTTTGTTGGTTCAGTAGCCAGATCATCTCCATATTGGGCTTCTTTTTCCATTTTAAAAGAGCTTCACAGCATCATTTTAGGTCCTTTAGGCTTAAAAAGTTAGAGTATCTACAGGCCACAGTTTAGCTTTCTAAACATTACATATACTATAACTATACATGTGTTTAATATTCGCTTTGTTATACACAGAGTTAAAATGTAATAATGTTTCTAAATAATAATTTTAGGTTTATGTAGTCATGCCAGGCATACTGATTTTTCTTGCCTAATTTATTTGAATTTTTTTTTCTCTCTACAGATTCCTTTCTCCTTGGTTCAGTTTCCCTTATGGGAGTCCTTAAAAGTAAGTTTTTCAGTTTTCATATAAAATGTATCTCTAATTATCACAAATACACAATAGTTTGAGTATAGGTGCATAGAATACAGTGTTGACTAGAAGTTTAAAAACTTAAAGGTGTTAGCAATTGAAATGAATTGCGAAGCATGCCAGTTCAGCCTTTTAAACTTGTGTGGCTGTGGTTCAGGCAGACAGCACTGAAATCCACAGTCCTTAAGAAACGCAGCTCTGCTTTCTTCTGTATTACCATTCTTTCTCCACCCAGTTGAATTTCTACCCAGTTGAATTTGTTTCACTGTGTGTGTGTGTGTGTGTGTGTGTGTGTGTGTGTGTGTGTGTGTGTGTGTGTGTAGAGGCTAAAGAATAACAATGAGGAGGAAAGAAGTCCCACCCCAGCCTCACCCATGTAGGGGCCACCAGGAGAAGGGGGCAGTAGGAATTTGGGGGTCTGACTGTTCCTTCCATCTTTGCTGCTCACTCTAACCAACCCCCAGAGGGAAGGAGTAGAGCGAAGTGAGTTATGAGTTAACTTTGGGGAAAGTTTAAAAACCAGCACATTTAAAAAAGACTGTGTTGAAAATATGCAGGGACGTTACATTAGCTCTTCGCCTTCTGGTGCAGTGATACTGAAAATTGTAGGTCGTGATATGAATTGGGTGGGTCTTTGCCAGTATTTTAAAAACTACAATAAAAAAAGAAAATATTAGAGAGCATCTTCCGTGGTAAATCTAAGTACTGTTTTGTAAGGCTTAAGTGTTATGTGTGATGTGCATATATCTGTATGGGTTGCAATGTAAAATGTATTTCTCACTGTGGATAATGGTCAAAAGAATTTGAAAGCCTTTGTTTAAGTGAAAATTGTTCAAGGGTGATCAAGCTGTAAATATCTAGGAAGGCATTAAATAATACAAAAATAAAGGGGTTACCCACATAATTTTGTGGAGTTGCTAATCATAGAGTGCTCATACAAAATATGTTTGAAGTATATCATAAAAGTTATTTGGCTTTCTTGATAAAAACCCTTGAACATGTGGGGGGGGAAAGTTATTTAGGCTCAAATTCTGTTGCGGTTTTATACTAAAGATAGTAAATTGAGACAAAACATTACTCTTAAAAAATCAACTATGGAATATTAAGTATTGAGAAACATTTCTTATAACTGATTTTAAGGAGCAGTACTATTCATTTAATAGAGTTTTTTTGGGTCTTTTGCTGTTGTTTTGTTTGTTTTTATTTTTTGCCATTTTCTATGCAGTACATGGTGAAAATGGATTTCTCAGACAGTGTTTCTGGGCATGATGTAACAACTATCCAATGAGAAGGTCACATTCCATTAGCATAACAGCTCTCCTTTTTAGTATGTGACAAAAGAACAATGAAGCTAACAGCTGTCCTGCAAACAAAACTCACTTTATTAGTGTCTCAATAACCAGCATTCACACAGATTCTGCATACTCTAACATCCTTATGCCCTAATTCTGCAAAGGAATGTTTTGCGGGCCCAAGAAGGAAAAAGCATGGCGTTTATTTATTTTCAATATTAAGGACACTTGTAGGATTCTAGCTAGTTAAGAAATGTCTAGAATTTTTCAGAGTAGTCATAGATAATAATGCTGTGCTTTAAAAATTTTCTTTGAACAAATGTTAAGATGCTCTAGTTTTTTTTTTTAAATTGGGTTTCTTGAGGAATAATTTACATACAGTAAAATTCACACTTTATAAATGTACATTTTTTTGAGTTTTGATAAATGTTTATAAATGCCAGCATAACCGAGAGAATATTTTCATCACTCCAGAAAGTTCCCTTATGCCACTCTGTAGTCTCCTCCCAGCCCATCAACTGCTGTTCCTGTAGTTTTTCCTTTTCAAGACTATCCTAGATACAGACATAGGATACATTTTGGGCCTTCTTTCATTTGATGTAATACTTTTGAGACTCATTCATGTTGTTTGTGCCAAATTTGTTCCTTTTTATCACTTCACATTCTTCCATGGGTGTGTGGATGTACTAAAATTTGGCTGTCCATTCACTAGTTGATACACATTTGAGTTGTTTCTAGTTTTCAACGAATTATGACTAAAGCTGCTACAAATATTTGCATTCAGTATTTGTATGGACATAAGTTTTATTTCTCTTGGGTAAGAGCCTAGGAGTGACATGGCTAGAAGGTATATGTTTAATTTTATAAGAAACTGTCAGTGTTTTCCAAAGTGGCTGTACTGTTTTGCATTCCCACCAACAATGTATGAGAGTTTCAGTTGCTCTATATCCTTGTCATTTATTTTTATTATTAGGTTTAAAACTTTTTTCAGCTATTCTAATAATTGTGAACTGGTATCTCATTGTAGTTTTAATTTGCATTGCCTCATGACTAAATAATGCTGAGCTCTTTTCATATATTAGTGTTTTTTTAGCATCTGGGTGCACTGGAAATCATAGTGCTTTTGTACTAGACAATTTTTGACACTTATTTTTGTGTTTATGGTTTTATCTATTTAAATGTGTTTTTGAAACCACAGAGTGAGATTGAGTTATATAGGAGGATTTCTCTATTGTGTTTATGTGGGAATACTGCTACTCAGAGAAATTTTTGTGAGCCAAGATCTTAGCAGGTTGCAGACACATAGTACCAGAGGGAGTGTCTGGAGATGGAGGTGGCCGTTGTTATCTTAAACTTAACCCCGTCTAAAACCAAAGTCAACGTCTTCTAAAAATCACTTCTTTCTTCTGTCTTCCCCATTTTTGTTCACCACTATTATACTGACCACCTGGTCTCAAACCTTACATTAAAATTTGATTCTCGTGTTTCTCTTTCTCCATATCATGTTGCTCACCAAGTTTTGTTGACTAACTTGTGGAACCTGTGGCTACCTTTTACCTGATTGTTACTACTTTATGCCTAGCCCAAGGCTACCAGGTTCTCTACTTTCTTATTCCATTCTACACGTTGAATTTGTGTGGTCTTCCTTAAACATGTCTTTAAGTAACACCTGTATTCTCAGAAACATATAACTTTAATACATACAATTCTTGGCACTGGAACCTCTTCACACTGAGCCCCTAATTTTTTCCCAGCCCCTCCCCCATACTCTTTTGTGCAGAATCCTCCCCTCCCAGCCAGAATATCCTCCTGCTGTGTCCTTCCCTCCCCTGTTCTTTGACTCTTTTCAGAAATGTGTTTTCAAGCATTGAAAAGTGGTACATCTTTCAAAGCTCTGTTCAGCATTCAGTCTCCTGCTTGAAATCTCCCAATGCAGGCCTTGAAGATTTGTCCTTACTTATCTCACATGTGTCTATATCACTGATTGGTATTTAATCACATATCATACTGTGTTTAAAACACCTTAGCGTATTTGAGTAAGGTCTCGGCCCCTTCCGTTTAAAATAAATGGCACATGCCGTCAGTATGCCTTTATTGCCTGCCGACTCTGAGCTGGACTTGTTCCATTTCACAGGAAGGCGAGGATGAATAGGATTTGGCTAATTCCTTTGAGGAGCCTAGAGTCTATTAGAGAGGCCACAGATAACTTAAGGGTAATGTGTCTCTAATTGAAGATGTTCTTCAATTATGGGGTAATGTGGGAGCCTGTCCCCCTGACTCCTCAAGTCCCGTCACCACACTGCCTCATTTCTTATGGTTTTCTTTTTTTATAGTACATGTGCTTACAAAATATATTTTAGATGAAAGAAGACAGGTTGCCATAAAGAGGAGGGGAAGCAAAAGGAATGGATTGCCATATCCAGAACCTCAGAGAAGGTTATTTTCCTCTAAGATTTATGTTTACTTTGGAACTTTCTGGAAGCCCTCCAAGAAGAGAAGCATGGTGGATTTTATCATTTTATGACCTGACAACAACCTGTAGCTATACTGTTTCATCTTATCCCTCGGCCTCTGGTGCCATCTTTCTCCTGAGTTGCACCTTTGTAGCCCCATGGCAGACCACCTCTGAGTGCCAGCCTCAGTGACTAGAACTGCCTAGTTGATACACTCACTTGGGATGTCTTGGTGTGTCCAGTTCAGAACAGAACTCTCAGTTTTTATTCTCCTTCTCCCTAACCAGTTCCTCCTCCGTTGTCTACTTCTCAATACATAGCATAGTTATCTGTGCTTGTTCAAATAGAAACCTAAGAATTATTCCAGACTTCTGTTCTCTCATCCCTCAAAATCTAGTTTATTAAGCCCACTATTCTCATTCAAGCCTGAACTCACCTCTTGCTTGAATTGCTACACAGACCTCTCACTTAGTCTCCCAGATTCCATTCTTGCTTCCCCAAGTTATCTCCTTCACACAGCAGTGATCTTTTAAAAAAAGAAAGTAGATTATCTCTCTTCCTGCTAAAATCTGTCAGTGACATGTCTTTAAAAGAAGAATGAAAGCCTGAGTTTCGACTCTGGCTCACAGGGCCCTCTGTGATCTGGGACTCAGCCTGGACCCACCTACTGCACTGGAGCCCGGCAGCCTCTTTTCTGTTCCTTTTAGATGTGCCTGTGTCTTTATATTTGAGCTCTTTCTGCCAAAAGTATTATTTATTCACTAATTCTACACATCATTATTTTGTGTGTGTGAAAATTTTTTAAATTTTAATTATTTTTAAAATGGACAATAATAATGATGTATGTTTCTGGTATACAGCATGATGTTATGAAGTACGTAAACACTATTATTGAGTGTCTACTATGTGAAAAAAACCTGAGGATACAGTGATGAAGAGGACTGACGAAAACCTCTGACCCTGTGGAGTGTTCATTCGAGCTCCCTCGCTAGGCTTTTCTCTCGTCCACGCCTTTCTCATTCCTCAGGCCTTAGATCCTATGCCTCTTCAGAGAGACAGTCCTGTCCACCCTTCTTTAAATAGAACCTTCCCTTCCTCCCACCTCAGTAATCACAGCACCTATTTATTTCCTTACTGGGATTTTAATAACTTAGCTTATTTAGTTATATACTTACTATTTCCTGAATACTTGTTAAAGGCATCAGTTGTGTGTTGAGCGGCTGCTGTATGC